TTTAATAACCTGATTGACCACCTATAACTTTAATAACCTGATTGACCACCTATAACTTTAATAACCTGATTGACCACCTATAACTTTAATAACCTGATTGACCACCTATAACTTTAATAACCTGATTGACCACCTATAACTTTAATAACCTGATTGACCACCTATAAGTTTAATAACCTGATTGACCACTTATAACTTTAATAACCTGATTGATCACCTATAACTTTAATAACCTGATTGATCACCTATAACTTTAATAACCTGATTGACCACCTATAACTTTAATAACCTGATTGACCAACTGGCTTTGAACGGCTACCTAACCTGATTGATTTCCGAGCACATTGGGTTCACATGAAACATATAGACGTTTACCACGTGATTACTGCTCACCTCAGATATTGCATTGTTTCTGTCCTTGAGAACCCCATTCCCATGTTTAGGACAGCTGGCAGCAGCTTGTGTTAGCTGCTGGAGCTGCTGCTGCTGATCTTCAACTTCAAGCATTGACAGCTGATCCTGGTTGAACATTGGATTGCTGTGGGACTGAATCTGAAAAAAATCGCCAAATTTTAGAGGATTTTCCTATTGACACAAATAACACTACAAGGTAATGTTTTTTTCCGGCTTATTGCACAGTTCCACACTAATAATACTACAAGGTAATGATTTATCCGGCTTATTGCACTGTTCCACACTAATAACACTACAAGGTAATGATTTATCCGGCTTATTGCACTGTTACACACTAATAACACTACAAGGTAATGATTTATCCGGCTTATTGCACTGTTTCACACAAATAACACTACAAGGTAATGATTTATCCGGCTTATTGCACTGTTTCTAACTGATAACACTACAAGGTAATGATTATCCGGCTTATTGCACTGTTCCACACTAATAACACAACAAGGGAATGATTTATCCGGTTTAGTGTACTGTTCCACACTAATACAAGGTAATGATTTATCCAGTTTATTGTACTGTTCCACACTAATACAAGGTAATGATTTATCCGGTTTATTGTACTGTTCCACACTAATAACACTACAAGGTAATGATTTATCCGGTTTATTGTACTGTTCCACACTAATAACACTACAAGGTAATGATTTATCCGGTTTATTGTACTGTTTCACACTAATACAAAGTTATGGTTATCCGGTTAATTTTACTGTCCCACACTAATACAAGGTAATGATTTATCCGGTTTATTGTACTGTCCCACACTAATACAAGGTAATGATTTATGTAGTTTATTGTACTGTTCCACACTAATACAAAGTTTTGATTTATCCGGTTTATTGTACTGTCCCACACTAATACAAGGTAATGATTCATGCGGTTTATTGTACTGTCCCACACTAATACAAAGTTATGATTTATCCGGTTTATTGTACTGTCCCACACTAATACAAGGTAATGATTTAATCGGTTTATTGTACTGCCCCACACTAATACAAGGTAATGATTTATCCGGTTTATTGTACTGTTCCACACTAATACAAGGTAATGATTTATCCGGTTTATTGTACTGTTCCAAACTAATACAAGGTTATGACTTATCCGGTTTATTGTACTGTTCCACACTAATAACACTACAAAGTAATGATTTATCCGGTTTATAGTACTGTTCCACACTAATAACACTACAAGGTAATGATTTATCCGGTTTATTGTACTGTTCCACACTAATACAAGGTAATGATTTATCTGGTTTATTGTACTGTCCCACACTAATACAAGGTAATGATTTATCCGGTTTATTGTACTGTTCCAAACTAATACAAGGTTATGACTTATCCGGTTTATTGTACTGTTCCACCCACACTAATACAAGGTAATGATTTATCCGGTTTATTGTACTGTCACACGGCCATGTGTCCCTTTTTTAACTTGTTTATATATTGTACAGTATACACGATCGTACCAGTAGTTAAAATTGGAATAATTGTCGTTTTTGTTTTTTAAATCTCGCTGAGAATTTTGTAACTGATATAATATAATAGTTATATATCTGAAAAGAGTCATTTTCTGAGGTTTAGACCAGTTACAAAATACAAACTTAATATGGAAATAATATTTCTCTTTTATGGCATATTGCTGTATTTTCTAAAGGGGAATTTTTGGGCCGAGCACTACCTGTCATAGTAAATTGATATTACAGTTTTTAGAGATGTGCACCACAATTACACCCGGGGGTGGGGGGGGGGAATTATACAGGAAAATATCAGATTTTGGAGATGATAATGTTTTTAAAAATTTCAGATACAAAGCCATAAAATTATTGTATATCTTCTGACCTGGGCTTGTTCATGCATTTCTTGAGAAATTGGACGATCATGATGATGATGATGATGATGGTGATGATGATGCATTGACGGAATCTGATGGGGGGATCTGTGTTCAAACCAAGTTTAGTGAAGCGTCCTTTTTCCCAAAAATAAATCTTTTTTCCGTTTTAGCAGAATTGAAGATTTAATATTTCTATTTCCGGAAATACAAATATATCAATTTTACTTCCTGTTCAAGATAGTACATTTCGTTAAAAATATTAAGTTCAGATTTAGCTTTGGATAAGAGAGAATGTAAAATATTTGTTTTTAAACGAGAGAAAATGAAAAAAGAATGATTTTGTTTAAGAAAATAACGCAAAACTTTTTCCAATTGAAGCTAGGAGCAAACAGTTTTAAAGATTCATTCGATCCAGAAGTAGGTTGGACTGAGGTCTTATTAGTAGGTTGGACTGAGGTCTTATTAGTAGGTTGGACTGAGGTCTTATTATAGTAGGTTGGACTGAGGTCTTATTAGTAGGTTGGACTGAGGTCTTATTAGTAGGTTGGACTGAGGTCTTATTAGAAGGTGCAGAATTTTAACAACTGTTAGAATCTTAATTTATTCACAGAGAGCAGTCTTAATAACACAAACAATCACTTTAAAATGATTAATAAATGCTTGGTTTCCTAGTGTGCATATAGGGCTGCTGGAAATTGTTGTGACCTGAACAATCCAAGAATTTACAAATAATGAAAATAGAAATTAAATAAAAAGATATTCACACTTAGTAATTTTGATGTGTTTCATACATTTTCATCACTTGATAACACTTGATAAATGGAGAGACCGGCTTGACGTGGTAGTTGAGGGGAAAGTGCAGTATTGTAGAGAAAAACTTTAGACAATTAGACAATTGTACAGTGTATAATTATAAAAAAGAGCGTTAAGTGGTTTGAAATATTTCACCAGTTGTTTCAGTCAGCAGAAGAAACTTTTATTTACAATTCTTAAATAGATTTTCTCTACAATATTGCACTTTCAGCTCAAGTTCCATGTCTAGGAAGTCACTCCCTTTAACACTAACACTTGTTTATCATGAGATTATTTAGTCAACTCTTTTCCTTGAAATATTGTTTGCTGCTGCTGCTGTTGTTGGAGATGATGTTGCTGCTGCTGTTGTTGCTGCTGTTGTTGTTGTTGTTGTTGTACTATTGTTTGATCCAGATAAGGTTGCGATGTTGGTTGATAACTATCCCCGCCTGTACACTGTACACACTAAAAACACGTTGTGCAATTATATATGTATATTGTACATACGTAATGCTTATATTTATTTTGTACAACGTCCAATATACATGAACAATGTACAGCATGTGAATTGTACATGCAAATTCTCTATAACAGTGTAATAGTTAATATTTTCTTTAAAAAATATTTCCCCCTATTTCTCTTAAGAATCATTTTCCCCAATATGTAAGAAATGGTTTTTTTTCCGCCGCTGGATTGGGAAAACAATCATTTCTGAGTAAACAATTAGCAAGCCCATGTCCCCCAAATAATCTTTAAAAATCCTTCATTCATCATGAAAAAAATGGCTGTTAAGATTTTTAATTTCTTTTTAGTTTTCGAGTTTTTTTCCCCTTTTTGCAGGAATTAAACTTTTTTGATGAATGTTACAGATTTGTGATGAAGTATCCATCGTTTAAGAAAACAACTTTCAAAACTAAGATTTAAGATTAGATTTATAAAAAAGTTTTTTCTAAACGAAAATAAATTGTGAAATTTATTTTGATTTGTGCATAATTAATCCCTTATTAAATGATTACCTGTATAAACCGATTATGCCCAAAATTCATCATATCCCTAAATTATTGAAAATATAATAATGAAGAATATTGACAAAATGTGAAAATATTGAATCTTTTTTGCACAGCAAAACTTTTTATTGTAAATATACCTTACTGCTGATCCACGTTTTTCTCGTTTTCTCTCAATCTCACTAAATTTTTTAACTTGTTTATATATTGTACAGTATACACGATCGTACCAGTAGTTAAAATTGGAATAATTGTCGTTTTTGTTTTTTAAATCTCGCTGAGAATTTTGTAACTGATATAATATAATAGTTATATATCTGAAAAGAGTCATTTTCTGAGGTTTAGACCAGTTACAAAATACAAACTTAATATGGAAATAATATTTCTCTTTTATGGCATATTGCTGTATTTTCTAAAGGGGAATTTTTGGGCCGAGCACTACCTGTCATAGTAAATTGATATTACAGTTTTTAGAGATGTGCACCACAATTACACCCGGGGGTGGGGGGGGGAA